TAGGTTAGTCAGATAGTTTGTACATGAGTAGAGTTGTTGAAATGTGAAGGTTAGTCAGATAGCTCAAGAGTAGAGTTGTTGAAATGTGAAGGTTAGTCAGATAGCTCATGAGTGGCACAGCGGTATGTCTGCGCACTTACAACGCTAAAAACCGGGTTTTGATATCCGTGGTGGGCAGAGCACAGATAGCCCATGGTGTAGCTTTGTGTTTAACTTCAAACAAACCAAAAATTATATGCGATAAGGTTTTCATCTGCATAAAAGTAGTGCCAAGCTGTTTAAATGACCTTATTAAAAACTGAAAATACTTATCGGAAACTTTCAGCAAAAACTTCCTAATTTTTACTTCTTTATATTTATCACAAAATACTTTAATAAATTTATTTAGAGTTTCTTATATACACTATTTCTGGATCATCTCTTAAACTGTCATAGTGTACAAATAAACCTAAACAATACCACAATGACTTTTAAATTGTTTACCAAACAATTCTCCACTCCACCAAATCTTCATTGGAGTTTATACTCAAACTGAATTGATTCTGTAGAAAACTTCTTCAGTACATTTTATTTATGGATGAAATGCCCTTGTACGTTCAGGGACTACAGCAGAACACAGGTCTTCAAATGGACGTTGCATAATATATTAATTATATGGCTAAGCTACTTGGCACTCGTCTTACTCTTCCTATCGTTATTGTGCCATTGACTAATATTGTTTTTGCCATAAAAATCTAAAATGATCTCTCATCTATAGATGTCCAACTAATACAGCTTTTTTTACAGAAATGTTTCTTATATTTATTGGGTTTTTTTAGGCTATTTTGTTCACTGAAACTGACAAAACCAGGAAAGCACGTTGTAACGGAATTTTCATCAGTAAACTACACGTGCTAGTTGCTGCACATTGTGTTCTTGACGAGGAGACCAACCAACCGTAAGTTTGAGTCTTAGTCTTAATTTTTAAGGACGTTGCTGATGTAGTTAGTAAGGAATAGCTGTGTTCTACATGTTATAAATAAAAGTTAGCCTAGTAAATAACTTAGGTAATTTAATACGCGAATATAACTGAATTATGCATTGTCCTAAAATAAAAACTATAATGGTTAGTATGTATCGATTTATCTGTTAGGTGCCTTTGTTATCGATGTTTTCGGCCGTAATTCCAGTAACATGTCAAAAGGTTCAGCCAGCTTAGGAGGTTTAGGTTAATCCTAAATGCATATACTAAGCTAACAATGCAAAATATTGCTCATAATAAAAAAAATGTCGTATTAAAAAAATAAAAAGATATAAATTTTTTCTAGTTAAAAAGATAATTACTGAATGTTAAAACTTCTTTGTGTTGGCAAATCTAAAATCTTTATAAAAAAGAATAAAATAAACAAGGTAGAACATATTTAATAATAAATAGCCATAGGAAAATATATAATTTTATAAACTGTTGGGGGCTCAGATTTTAAAAGTTATAACTATCCGAGTGAATACTTTTAACTTAGTGACTAACTTTTGTTAGTGCAGGAAATATTGGCCATCATTTTTAATGACTAACTTTTATTAGTACAGGAAATATTGTCCATCATTTTTAATGTCTAGCTTTTATTAGTACAGGAAATATTGGCCATCATTTCTAATGACTAACTTTTGTTTAGGATTTTAAAATAATTATATCAGAAGGCTTAAATATATTTATACCCCATATTTCATGTTTGAAAACAAAACTACGTGATCAACTATTTTTCCCCTTTTAAAATTGAGAAATTGTTTTTAAGCTAAACTTATTGGTTAGTATAAAGAGAATTAAAAACTTATTTTAATCATTAAAAAGTAAAGCAGAGCTATAAAAAAGACGTATATAAAACATTTTGGAGGTCGAGGAGGGTGGGGGAATTGCCTGGGGGCCCGGGCGAATGAAACCTGGTTATGCCGTAAAACCCGCAATGCACCTTTAGGCTATATCTTCATTTAATTATAAACAGCAGAGTTTTTGGCTTTAGTTTGCACATGGACGCTTGATACATTGAGAATGATTGAAATAATAATTTGAGTAATAATTAACATATATTTGTTACTTTATTAACGTTTTTACACTTATACTGTGAGCTAAAACCGGCTGCTGCTATGATTTTACCTTGTTTGAGAAATTGTTGTTGTCCTAATTTATGATCTCTTTTAAACAAGTTCTTTAAAATGCAAAAAGAGAGAGAAAGAGGCCCGGCGAGGATGTTTGCCCCGGGGTCCGTGCTGGCTCTCGACGCTCCTGGAGACCGATGGCTCTCTTCGTGAATATTGCGGTGTGAATGACAATTAAAAAAATAAAACTTTTTAAGGTTCATATATGGTAAATACAAAACTGTTGTGCTCGGACTTGACTGGTTTCGGATGAACTTTAGGGTGGAAATAGCATAGAAAGCAACATGAAAGTTTGCATGTTGGGAAAGTAAAGAACTCACGCGGAACAACAATTACATATCTACTAATAATGGTTGGAGACGGCTTGAATGGGTAATGAAGAAAAACTTTAATATACGTTTAGCATAACAGCAAATGTACAACGTTTCGACAAGCTTTTGTCATCATCAGGTACAAGTAATTTACACTGACACGGATATACATGTATATATATATACAGTATGGAACAAAGAGGTCACATGACCGGACTGTTGCAAAACTTAGAAGAGGTATCTAGGCGCCCCGGGGTGTTGGTTTAGAGTGGGATTGGTTTGTTTAATTAAGATGGATTCTTTAATTTTTCGTTTGTTTATGTTGGGTTCTTTGTTTAAAATGACTGTGTTTTAATAGATATAATATGGTTTTTTGAGTTGCAATGGTGAAAAACATGGGACGGTTTTTTATTGTGTTCTGTCAATCT